GCTATAAAAAGTTGGCAACCATTTGCTGTCTAATCTAACAATGGGAATATAATGTAATTCAGTGGAGCCTACTTCTGAGTAAACATTCAAAGAACTAAACAAAACTGATTAATTTTAATTACAAGAAGAGACCTTTACATGTTGATTAGATTTTTGTTTTAAAAAATATTATCTTCAGTCCTAAATTGTCAAAGGTTCTTGAGATCCTTTCAGCATGTTTAACTGAGGATTATACATTTCCTTAAATCTGGGTTTCCTCTCTTATGCAATCAGCCTCGATAGTGTAAAGCTGAAAACTTGTTGTGCTCTGATACTATGGTGACAGCAATCTAAGCAAAGCTCAGAAGGAAGAGAGAATCTCTGCTTCTTCCAAGATTCAGAAGCTATTATTTAAAATCCTTCATTTCCTTGTTACCAACATTAACCAGAGAATAGATGCTGTCCAGAAGAACAAGGTGGGTTGGTGCTTAATTTTGTAATATGAGAGCTCCAGCCTTCATCCTCATAACATTGTCTCCACCCAAGACTGGGAAACTAATTTAGTCATTAATAACACCTAGCTTCCTGTTCCAAGTTTTGTATGTACAACTCAAGTCTATCCCAGCAGCAAAATGATATCTCCCCTTTATATGAAGATAATACAATGACCCACTGTTTTACAGACTAAAACATTTTCTACTTCTATTTCTTCCTGGCAGTTAGTAGGAACTGAATTGATTAGTGGGCCTTTGTCACTTCCTTTTATATTTGGATGAAGAGAAGAATCAAACAAATCAGTTGCACAAGCACAGAATCAGAAAAGATAATCAAAGAGACCTTGATAGTACTATTTATTAATTTGGAGCATTAACATTGCAACTACTAGCAGTTCCTTGAGATAACTTAAAATTGAGAAAAACAAAACTGTATGGATGTCTTTCTCCACACATTAGATATTCTTGTTTCCAATTTCCTTCTGAATTTCTGGATCATAATAAAGGAAATGCCTATTATATTCACCAGATATTAATCTTTCACAATCTACCAGATATTAATCTTTCAGAAGGCATTATTTCTAAAATGTTGTTTTCTCTTCTCTTTTTTAGTTTTGAGCCCAATAGTACATGGAAAAGGAAGAGAGGGAGCAAAGGTATTAATAAGCCTCTCCTAGCCCTCAGAAATTTTAATTACTACCAACCTTTCTCTCACCTTATTCATACAGCAGAGACAATCCTGTCCCATGATTCACCTTGAGCTCTTACTGAGACAATAAGAACGGACTGAACTGAGAACTGATATGGAGAGGCTCTTGTCTCTGGAAATATAAAAATACAGAGTACTAGCTAATGCTAAAAAGTCTATCAAATATACTCCTTCGCCAGCAGCTTACTATGTTTTCTTGCTGCCCATGAAGGAAGTCTTCCTCCTGTAGCTCGCTCACTCACCCACAAAGAATTCTATTGCATTGATTTCCTTGAAATTCTTTGCCTATTATGACCAGAGAAGTCAAAACACTGCTCTTTTTTCACATTAGATTTTGACATTCCTCCTCTCTCATTTTGTCTCAGGATATGTATGGCTGACTTTCTATCAGAGTACAAATCTACTATAGAAAATCATCCTGCTTAACTTATCAATAGGAAACTATTTCCTGTTCCCCTCTTGCAGCTTCTAGCAATTTTAGGACTAGAAGCACTTTTAGCAAAATATCCTAATCATCTTACCCAATATGTTGATATTTCTGTCATTTATAAAACTGCCTGAGTCTTCTTTTAACTTATTTATACAGTGTTGGTCATCCCTTTCCCAGTGGCAAGTAATATCAAATGCAAAGTGTACTGTGTGAAAAAGGTGTCAATTTAAATCAGTAAACCATTATTTGTAATATAAAAGAATAAAGAGTTCCCCCCATTTATCCATGATGTGTATACATTACTCATATATTTAATTAGATTTAGTTACAATGGTTATCAATAGTTTTGCTTTCTCCTCATATGAAAAACCCAACCCCACATCTGTTTCAGTTCTGTGATATTAAGATGAGTTTACAGTATTGAATGTTATATTCAGCTACAATGTCCTTCAGTAAATTTTATCATCAAGCATATTTCCACACCCACATTCTCTATGTCAGTTAATGACAAAGACAGTAAGCCAAGATTTAAATATCAGACTACCCAAATATCACTATGGATGCTGGTTAAAGTTGAAAACTGAAGCTTTACTGACCTGTGAATGAAATTAGATACTAACCAACCCTTTACTGACTGCTTCTTAACAGCCTAAACAGAATGCATAAACTCCCACAGTCCAAGTAAATAGTTAAGGAATAAGGACAGATGGAGTGGTTCTGGAGTTTACTAACCTGGATTAATCATTAATAAATGAAATAAATATCTTGGAGGAAATTATACATGTTTTTAAAATAAAAACAGGAGGCAGCATAGACACTATTATTTTAAACCTGCAATCCAGAATGGAACAAAATGTGAAAATAACCACATGATGGAGGAAAGCAAAAAGAAGAGGGCAGGTTTCTGAACTGCAGGATGCAAAATGCTTCCCCCATGGCTGAACAACCCCTGTATTTCTAAAGGCGCCAAAACTGTTTCTAGGGGCCTTTGGTTTATAATAACTCAGTGAAGAATCCAGCAGTCTCTCAATATTTTATTTCTGAAGTGGATGCCTCCACTTCTAGAGGTTCTAGAGACATGGGACTTAGTGGGGTAAAAATTAGCATGAGAACTGAATATTCTTAAAAAATATTTCTCACTTTTCTGTCACATTACATCTTTTAAGTTAAATAAATAATTCTTCCGCACTAATTTCATATTCTTCAAACTCTTCCTATCTTCTCCTATGACCATATACTAAATTGAGTAAGTTTTCATGTGATTCATTTCTACCAAACCACTTAACAGATCTTTACCTACCTAAACCAGAACCACCATCACAGGTAAACATGACCCCAGGCCAAAGGTGAGAGGGAATAATGATTAGGCACCCACACTTCAATTTTCTTTTTTAGCATGGTGAACTACTTGAAGTTTTTAGGCCTATAATTCAAAATATTTATTTCTCTGAGTAAACAATGCAAAGGGTTCAAATATACAAAGAATATTCTTCTAACACAGCAGAAAATGATCTGGACTGTCACACTCTACAAAGCAACCGACAGAAACTATAGAAATACTAGTAGTACATGGGATCAGCACTGCAATCCTGCACATGCTTGCTTCCAAATCCCACATCTTAATAGGAATTATTATTCATGCATTCCATTATCAGTTTAGCTCAAATTCATTTTCAACAGAACTAGGTTTCGGCTCTGACATCACAATATAAAAAGCATTGCTGGCTCTAATATGTAACTACAAGCATCTGATAAGAAACTCTTCAGAGCAGAGCTTGATCAGCAGAGCACTGACTTTGTTTTCAGTATCACCCCAATTTATGTAGCACATTTAATGTAATCTAAGTACAGACTAATTTCTAGAGACACATTGAGAAAACTGAAGGAAGAATTTTGACAGTCTGATTTTCTCACTGCAAAATCCAAATTGCCACATGTTATTTTCATAGACCTCTCTTTCATACAAAAAATAATCCTAGGATTCTTTGCTATGTAATCCTAAATTACAAGGCAGTAACTGTATCATATGACAATAAACTTGGCAGATAGAGCAAACTGGAATTCAGCAAGAAAAGGATAAAGTACATAAACATGATGATCAACTCAGCAGGAAATTGTTTAATGTTACTCGTTCATCAGACACTTACTGCCCCATTTCCAGAAAAAAAAGCATCCTCAACTTAAATTGATATTATTAATTATCTATTCTTACCACCATAAGTGGAATTATAAACCAAACAGCTCTCATCCCATCTCCTGCCAAAATAACCCTAAACTGCAGTTTTTAGTCTCCCCTAATCGCCATTGCAAATACTGTAGGAAGCTGCAAATCAAGCCTTCAACTTCAAGCCCACTTGTTTAAGAGTAAATCTCATGAATCCCGGCGGGTTTTCTTTTCGAAAAACCACGCCAACCGCGGAGTGCCACCGCTCCAGTCTTTTCAGGTCCGCATCAATCTTAGCTTTACCCCAACTTCCTGCCTCTAGTGAAACTTCCGAAGTCCTGCTTCTCTTGCGCGTCGAGCCCCCCCACTTTTTTTCTCCTGATCCGGATTTTAACGCCGAAAGCTCCCGCTGAAGCGAAGCGAGCCCTTCCCGTTGGAAGCGAGGGAAGGGAGGCGAACCACCCCACCCGGTTTATTTCCGCGCCCCTCCCCAGCCAGGGCCAAAGCATCCCCCCCGCGCGCCCTCGAATCCCCGGTTTCCAAGCCAACCTCCCGGCCGGGCCTTCCTCTAGAAAGGCCAAGGGGCTCCACCGAAAGTTTTCCTTGCGCTCGCTCGCTCGCACCCCCTCAGCCGCCAGGTGCGAAGGGAACGAGCAGGAAGGAGGACAAAGCCCCCGTAGAGAAACTCGGGGAATTTCGGACAGGCCTACTTGGAGGTGAAGCCCGCACCGTCCAGGCCGGCGGATACAGCCACGGGGAGAGGGAATAGGCTCCTCCATGTTATTGGCTCCGCGTGAGGGCGGAGGACGGGGGCTGGGGCGAGCGAAATTTCCCCCCTCTTTTAGAGAGGGGAGGTTGAGACTGCCGGGCGGCCTAGCCCAGGCAGCAGCGGCGCAGAGCTCCGGCCAGCCGGCCTGCTCCTCGCGCCGCATCGCATCCCTCCGGGCGGCACTCCGGCGGGCGCAGCGGAGGTAGAAGGAAGGGGTGCTGGCCATCTCGGGGGAGGGGAGAGAAAGGAGGGCGAAGGAGCAGCGAAAGGTGGCCTCTCCCGCGCAGGAAAATGGGTGCCGGGAGCAGCTGTTATCGCCG